GGGGACGTCCCGGACGACCCCTAGCTAGGCTCACTAGAATTATTTCAACGTGACGAAAGAGAAGTTACAAGACAGCATTTACAAAAACGATTGACGAATGGTTCTTCAGAGACATGCAAAACAGCATGTTTTGTAGCACCTGTGTTATTGTGATTTTTGTTAATGAAATTCCTGCCTGTTCAAAAACCGGTTACAATCAGTAAAGTTGATAATTTGATTGACTGATTGATCGATTGATTAAACAAAGTCAAATGCATTCTAACGTTACATAGCTCGCATTAGCCTTTAATAAATGCTTTTTTTGGCACAGCTGTTATTGCTCACAATTTCATTTTCTGCGGCAATGATGGTCAATGTTGAACCATAATAGCTTGAACGTCGGTCTTCTGATGTTGTATATGATTATCGAATCTCCATTACTTATGTTGAAGAGCAGACAGAATGCAAATATGTTTTCGAAATCACTTATATTAGTTTGGTTGAAATATGTTATGTTTCCTCAAAACATCCTAAAAGTCAACCCTTTTTAAAGGTGCTTGGGTGCATTTTGCTATATTTTAGTGTCATAAATGATATATATTATCATCTATCCAGAGGCATGATCACTATAAATGCGTGGCTCTGGACAGCATTCTTTCGCCGTTCAATATGCCCCGCGTTTTGAACCTTGTTAAAAAAAATTATTGTATGCTCAGCCTGCCATAGTGAATGATCCGCGTTTTTTGTTTTACGGATGTTTAGAAACCGGGAATATATAGTGGTATCCGTTTTGTGTGCAGATGTTTCTCTTTTAACAGAAAAGCTTCAGCGTAGCGATTGAAAGAACCGTATATCGGTTAATATTCATCGCATTCTGGTTAGTGCTCAAAAATACTGTTCATAACGACCCGTCAATCAGACGTCGCTACGGTCGTGCATGCAACGAGGTTCTGTGTTTATTATAAAGCTGGTGTACTTGTGTATCTCTGTACTTACTTTCTTGTTTACCTCTAAACCTTATTAGGCCACTTTAGCAATTCATCTGCCGCTCCTTACTGCACGAATATCAAAGACAAGGGCAGTTGGAAACACATGAAGACGACGTGCAGTGTGAATCGCGATTCGCTGGCCTTGTGTCATCTTATCGAATACCAGGAAATGCTCCCAGCCGAATATCAAGTGTGTTGTGCCTGACCGTGATTTTGAGCACTGGCAGCGTGATAATTCGGCTTTTGCCTTTTAGAATTTTGATCATTTGGATGGTGTGCCTGAGGAAGCGCTAGTGAGGTACGGCGGATCCGTCGAACTTGCTGACTATTGTCCGTACCCACAGGAGTTCGAGTGGAAAAACGCTGAAAACAACCAAAGAGATTCCAGATGTAGTTTTACTGCCAATGCGCCAGGTGAATTTTCTGACCGCCACAGTCTGAAACTGTACACCTTTGATAGGTAACCGGTGTCGCTTATAAAAGCGACTGTAGGTCATGTCGTATCTTTTGGAACAGCGGTTCGAAACATGAATGTTCGGATAAGTCGCGCGATGCTTTAGCGCAAATGGAAATGAAAGTTTTCGGCTTACATAGAGTCTCTAACAAATATGTCATTTCCGTTTAGGTATATATTAGGTTATATTACTTAGATAAATTTATGTCTGTATATGTTTACCATAGCTAGCAGATTCTTCGTCGTTTTCTCAGATCACGCTGGTATCGAAAAGCAATTGTCTTACTTACGGATAGCTTAGAGAAACAGTGGCTAATAGTAATAGATAATTCTCTTGTGTAAAATCGGTAGATGCAGCAAATTTATTTCTTTCAGATATTCATTAATTAATGCAATAAAGTTTCTTTGAACAAGAAATTTACCACAGTTTGCTTCAGACTAGGGTTGCTCGGTCGGTAAAGCGTTGAACTTAGAACCGATAGGTTCCGAGTTCGAGACCCGGTCGTGGTCACTCACCCTTCTTACTTCCTAGGTTGATAAATGAGTACCACTCGAGAGGTAGGAAACAAGCGACTACACGCTGCATTAGCAGCACTTCTCTGTACTCTGCCTTTAAATAAGGCACTCCTGGCTGATGGCATAGAAATAAAATTAGCATTACATCTTTGACTTCATGAGAACAGGAGCGCCAAAATGACTCAATCATGAAAGTTATTGCAACGATGACAAGCTTTCAAAACATTCCTTTCCATGCCACTGAAAGCAATTTCCTAATTTAGTGGTTAGCAACTGAAAAAAGATTGTTAAGACTTCGTTGGCTAAATCATGTCGTGGTTTTCTGAGGTTTTGGCTGTCAAATAAAGTCTTTTGACTTTTACTGTGTGTAGTGCTATTGAATGCCACATTTTTTTACTTCTTGGTGCTGAATTTTCCAGCAATTTATTTTGCATGTATTTTTATTGACAGGTTTAATGTTTAGCCCCGGAACTAAATGGTGCTCTGGAGGAGTACGGTGTTCGTTCCCGGTGTTTCAATTCAGTCAGTACATGGAGTCAGCAAAGCTGTACAGTCAGTCGTACATATTTTCATCATGGCGCTGGTTGCTATGAAGTAAGTTGGTCAAAACTGCTCTGTCACGTATCAGTGAGGTTGCTGCATATGTACTCTATCGAGGCAATGTTCCTGTAATTGTAATGATCGCGTAAGCAAAGACTTACAATTTCCTTTCACTTCCATATGTGCATCTTGTGATTGATCTGTTATGTCTTAATACATTAGAACATCGAACCTTGGGTAATTGACCTTGTTAGTAAGTGGAAGAAAGTATATTGAAAATTTTTAACCTTCCTCTTACTCTCTAACCAGATAAATATAGTCACTGGGCAAGATGACAGATAAACCGGACGAATTTCATACTTGACATGAGAAAATGGCCTAATAACCATCCTTTTCTAGGCTAGACTGCACATTTATAACTTGAATGGAGAATCACTTTGAACGGAGCATCGGATTTGTCATGTAATACATCTGTTGATACCAAAACTGTAGCATGTATATTTTTAAAACTTCTTTGTACTTGTGGGTATTATTTGGTACACTGACAAAATAAGTTTAGCATTTTTGCCAAGAAGGTCGTCTCTGGCTAAGCCTGCTCAACGGAACTTCCGTTTATCCGTGCTATAAGGCGGGTCAGTTGATTATGATTCGTCAGGTGCTAAAACATTGGTTACATAGCGGCACCATCGTTTGCCCTGCTTGCGCGGAACTGTGTGAAGTATGGAAAACGAAACCATACGTAAAGTGTTCGGTTACTGACTTGAATATATTTAGAATTGTGTTTCCGAGACAGAGCCGCCTCATGCTGTAGGCGACGAGCCAAAGCAGCTCATTTGTGGTGCGGAAACGCTGTTTTTTTGTCGTAGTTTATTTATTCCTGTTTTGCTCTACCTTTATTTTCTTTCTTGAGTTTTCATTGTCTTTACCTTTGTTGAATTTTTTATCTGATTGATCGTATTGTTTTGCCGTTTCTACTGTTTTACCGGTCAGAATGTTAGGCCTTGTTTGATTGTTTTTGGCAGTGCAATTTTTGGCTTCTATTGTTTAACAGAAAAAATTTAAATTTCTTCGTTATTGTGCCATCGACGTTGCACCTATTTTCTTCCATTCCTTCACAGAGATTATTAGATACTATTTTAGCGATCAGACGTGTAAAATCTGCGATTATCTGTTGTTCAAAGCTTAATCTCAGCTAGGAGAACTAGTTTTCTTCCATTCCACATATACAGAAATTTTATGCGCAGTTCAAGCAAAAATCGTCTATTTTATAACTGAAAATACCATATGAATCCTACTAATTATCACTCGTATCATCTTCTTCTTCCATCGCCGCTTCTCCTTTTCAGTCGCGGAGGCAGACGCGTCAGACAGTGCTTCCAACGTTCCAGATTCTGTGCCAGAGTCTGAGCTTCGGCAAAAGACAAATGCAGTCTGGAACAGAATCCTTCCATATGTTTGCACCAGGTTAACCTTGGCCCTCCCCTGGGCCTTCTGCCGGTCGGATTTGCAAGAAAGAGTTGGTTAGCCTTCCTTTCCGGAGGCATTCGCAACACATACCCAAGCCATCGCAGCTGTGACTTCTCAATCTGGAGAAACAAAGGCTGTAATCCAAGCATCTTCCGGATGTTACTATTCCGGACCATTTCGAGACGCGTAAGGCCAGCGACTCGTCTAAGAAAGCCCATTTCCGCAGCATGTACCCGGGTTCGAAGTTTTTCAGTGATGCTCCACGATTCATGACCGTAGGTAAGTATGGGCAAAAAGATCGACTTGAATATTGAGAGCTTAGTTTAAAAAATGCGCTCTGCTTTAGTCACAATGGGTCGGGCTAGTTCACACAAAACGTCACTGGCTTCTCCATTTCGCCGGTCGATCTCTTCCTCCAACTTTCCATCACTACTAAATATAGTTCCGAGGTACTTGATCTTCTCCACCTGCTCCACTGCCTCTCCGTTAATCTGAAGAGAGCAACGGACAGGAGAACGAGAAAGCACAAGGCTTTTCGTTTAAGATGTGTTCACACGCATGCCGGTGACGTCGCACTCGGCTCCGAACCTTTCTAAGGAGCACTGAAGATCAGTTTCAGAAGATGCAAATGAAACAACGTGGTCTGCAAACAGCAACCTTCTCGACTTAACATCTCCTATACTGATACCCTCATCACTTTGGCAGCGCCTGACTATTCTATCGATGTACAACAAACAGGATAGGGGACAGGACGCAGCCTTGTCGGAGACCAGTGCGAACACTGAATGGTTTCGACTTAACGCCATTAACTCTGACACATCACCTGCTACCAGAATACAGTGATTGGATGGCCCTCAGCAACTTGCCATCAATCCCGTATGCACGAAAGCATGCCCAGAGACTGTTGCGTGTGATCCGGTCATCCTCTTTCTCTAGGTTCACACAACACATGTACACCGGCTGGGCGTACTCCCACGATTTCTCAACAATCTGGCGCAGTGGAAATATATGGTGAGAGGTGCTTCGACCGTGCCGGAATCCACACTGCTTTCCTTGGATGTTGACGTCAACTGTTTCACGGCACGTCCTTTCTAACACCTTTGCGTAGACTTTACCTTCGAGGCTCAGAAACGTTACGCCCCTATAGTTGGAGCATTCCTTGTGGTCTCCCTTCTTGAATACGGTTATAATAACTCTCGTTCTCCAGTTCGCAGGTGTCTTACCCGCAGTCATCGCAGTTTGACAGACACGTCTTAGCCAGCACATGCCTTGTTCGCTTAATGCCTTGAGCATCTCAGGGTGCATTTTGTCAGTTCCATCGGCTTTTCCATTTTTCATGCTTTTCACAGCTTGTGCTATTTCATCAACAGAGGTAGTATAATCTGTACCCTTCTGCTGTACAGGCGAGTCTTCCTGCTGTCGCGCGGAGATAAGAAGTTCCTCAAAGTACTCACTCCAACACCGAGGTGTCATCATTCCTGGTAAGAGGGTGTCCAGATCTGTCCTTCAAGACTCTGAGACTGCCCGTCTTTTCACCTCGGAGTCGGCGGATGGTTCTTCCAGAATACGTTGTTTGCAGTGTGGAAATTCGACTCCAACACCTCACCGAACTTCTCCCAGGAATCAGCCCTGATTTTTGCCACTGCTATGTCTGCCGCGTTGCGTGCCTCGACATATCGCACGCGTGTGGATGGCTCCTTGTTTCCAAGCCATTTCTTGAACGCTGCTTTTTTCTCTTTAACTGCCAGTTGTACCTCTGGTGTCCACCATGTCGATCTTTGCTGACCTCCTGGCGGCAGACAAACCCATTTATATCCGCAGGATTCGGCGGCAGCCTTAAGTAGGCCTCTCTTAAACAGCTGCGACTGGGTTTTAACATCAGTTCTCATCGCTGGGTTTTGTTCAAACCGTCGTGCGATGTTGTTTGCAAATTTCGCTCTCGTGTCCACCGAAGACAATGTTTCCCA